ACTCTTCTCAACAGTGAATGGCTTCTCTAAGAATTGAGGTCGGTTCATAAGTTTCTTACCCTACTGTGGAAGGTTCGAAATGGTTTCTTCTTCTAGTCATTCTGAAGTGCTTTCGAATTTCTGACAGAACCATTTGTAGCTTTAACTGTTGACATCACCTAGTTCCTTCAAATCTGGTCAAGAATTTCCCATACCCGGGTGAGCCGCGTGTTTACGCGGGGGACAAGAGTAAAACAGATGCAGTCAAAAGCGCCGACAATTGAAGGAAGGCCGGGGGGGTGAGAGCGAGGCAGGCAGTGCAGCGGCTGGCAAGTCTCCAGTGCCGGCGTATCGGCAGGAACGCCGGGGGCAGGCGGAAAGAGGGGGATGACGCCACCAGCTGAGGACAGGACGAGAACCCGGCGGACCGTGTCGGAAGAGAGAGCGCCAGGCGAGCGGCCAGAAGGGAGGAGGGACGGACCAGCTAGGGCGGCCGGGGGGCAGACGTGCAGCCATCCTGAAGACAAACAACCAGCAACGAACACACAGAAAAGAAAAACGGGCGGAAAAGACAGAGAGAAGCCAAAACGAAAACAACGCGTGCGGAAGCAAGGCACGAGGGAGACGGAAAAGCGCGGAGACCACAGTGAAGGGTGGCAGAGGCGCGCGGGAGAGAGAGGAACAGGAGTAACGCAAGGGCGAGAGTACGAGCAGGGATGCAGTGACGAAGGCAGGCAAGTATAGAAGAAATCGGGGAGAAGGGGCGAATGAGAAAGAGACAGCACAAAACCAACGGACACAAAGAGGTACCTCAGCGGCGAGACAGGGGGGAGCGACGTCGGCGGGCGGGGACGATAGCACATAATGCGGCCAAGCACGAAAGCAGAAGCCAAGGGACAAAGGGAGAGAGACGAAAGAAGCTGACCAAGGGCCCCACCACAAGTGGTACAGACCCAGGCGAACACAGCGGTTGAGGGGGAGGGGGGCAAGAGGTGAGAAGCCAGGCAGACAGAAGGTCCAAGGGCCTGCACGGGAGCAGCCACGCGGATGCAGGCCAGGCAAGGACGCGCGGGACAGTTGGGCCCACAACAGGGGAGCACAGGGGGCCGGGCAGGGAAGCAGAGAGGCGGCGCGAAGGGCAGGCTCGGAAGCACCTATGAACGAGTGGAGGGAGAAGAGGCAGGACAAGCAATAAGAGCGAGGCGCAGAGAGTAGAGAGGGCAGAGGGGCGGCGGGCGGGCGGCGCGACCGGAGCGGGGTCGGAGGAAAGGCGGACTGAGAGAGGCGGGTAGTGCAAGAAAGGGGAAGGGGGGGCAGAGCCACATAGGTGGAGGGGGAGAGCCCAAGGGGGATGGACGAGGGCGAGGAGAGGCGGAGACCAGGAGCGGGAAAGGAGGGAAGGGAAAAGAGAAAACAGGAGGAAGAGGCAGAAAGGAAGAAGAAGAGAAAGCCGAAAAGCAAATGAGGGCGGTGAGAAAAGGACAAAAGGAAGAAGAAGAGGAAGGAGACAGAAGGCACGGCAAGGCCGACGCAAAGAAGAGAGCCAGAAGAAGGGCGGGAAGAAAAGGAAGAGTGGAAGAAGGCCAGGAAAGGGACGGTGGAGAGCAAGCAGCGAGGGAAAGAAGAAGGAGGACAGCAAATCGGAGGGAAGGGAAGCAAAGGGCGGGAGGGACGATAGCGAGGAGGGGGGAGGGGTAGGGGAAATGGCCGCAATGCGGCGAAACGCGCAGGAGAAGTGGAAAGGGAAAAAGGGGAGAAGCCAAAAGGAAAGGAAGCGGAGGGAGGGGGGCGCGAGGGGAAGCGGGGGGCGCCGAGTACCAATGGGGAAAAGGGGAAAGCAAAGTTCACGGGCAAGGAGAGACCGCACGGGCGCGAAACCAAGGCAAAGGAAGGGAAGCCCCCGAGGTGAAGCAAGGGGAAAGGGGAGCCAGGGCGGAAGCAAGGGAAGGGGAGCAAGGGGCAGAGAAGAGAGAAGGAAAGGGGAGCCAGGGAGCAGAAAGGGCGGAGAAGGGAAAGGCGGACAGCCAAGGGAGGGGGAGCAAGGGAAAAAGGGGGAGCCAGGGGCAAAGAAGGGCGAAAGGGAAAGATGGGAGCAGGGAGGGGGGAGGAGGACCAAGGGAGGGGGAGGAGGAGCCAGGGGCAGAGAAGGGAGAAGGGAAAGGGGGAGCCAGGGGAGGGGGTAGGAGGAGCCAGGGGCAGATGAGGGAGAAGGGAAAGGGGAGCAAGGGAGGGGGAGGAGGGGAGGCTAAGGGCAAAGGGGGGACACGAGGCAAAAAAGACAGGGGAGAGCAAAGGAAGGGAGAGAAAGGCAAAGTACCAGGAGAAGGCGGGAGCCAAGGCGAACGGCAAGAGTAGAAGCAAGCAAGGCAAGTCGAAGGCAAGGGTGGGAAGCTAGGGAAAGCACCAGGGGGAGGGAGCCAAACAGGGCAAGGCGGGGAGCAGGCAAAGAGAGGCAAGGGGCCAGGACAAGGCAAGGCAAGGGAGGGCAAGGACAAGGAAGGAAGTGCAAAGGGGAGGCAATGACAAGCCCAAGGGAAGGGGGGGCAAGGACAAAGGAGAAAGGCAAAGGGGGGGGAAGGGCACAAGCCAGGGGGAAGGCGGAGAACACCCAGACGGGAGAAGGGAAGAAGAGGAAGAGGAACGGACAGGGAAAAGAGGCGCACAAGGAAAAAGACGAGGGGAACGAGGAGGGGAGGAAAGGGAAGGAAGAGGGGGAAAGCCCAAAGAGACAAAGACCACGGCAGAGCGAAGCAGAGAAGCCAGGCGACACCAAACAGAGAGAGGCCACGCAACGGGAAAACCAGAGGAAGAGCAGAGGAAGGGGGGAAGCCAGGGACAGGGAGAGGAAAGCGCCAGCAAACGGCGAGCGGAGCCGGGCGGACAGCGGGGCAGAAGAGAAGAGAAGAGCGCGGACAAAAGAGACAAGAGGGCAAAAAGGAGAGCGGCGCGGGCCAACGGACAGAGGCGCAGGACCAGCGAGAAAAGGAGGAAGAGAGGAAGACGGGAAGAAGAGAGAAAGACAGGAACGCACGAACAAGAGAGCAGAAAAGGCGAAGCAGCAAAGGAGAGCGAAGAGAGCAAGGAAGCGGAAAGAGCAGAGAGCAAAAAGCGCAGGGGGGACAGAGCAGACCAAAAAGCGGCAAGGGAGAAGGGAGAAAAGAAAAAGAACGCAGAGAGCGGCAAAAGAGAAAGAGGCGGAGAGGGCGGAAACAGAGCAAAGCAGAGCAAAAAGAGCAAGGGCGGGACGGGAGAGAGGCAAAGAGAGAAAACACGCAGAGCGAGCAAGAGAAAGCAGGCCAGAGGGGGAGCGGCAGCAAAGAGACCGGCGCAGCAGGGAAGAGCAGCGACAGAGGCGCAGAAGGGGGAAGCAAGACAACACGGGGGGGGAGCAAAACAAGAGAAGGGAGGAAAGGAGCACGGAGCGGGGAAAGCCGGGAGGGGCACACGGAGCGGGAGAGCCGAAGCCAGCAGGGCGGAGGCACGGGGCGGAGGGGGGGGGCGGGGGGAGCAAAGCACCAGAGCACGGGAGACGGGCGACCGGAGGGGGAAGACGGGGGAAAGGAACGCGGAGGCGGGAAAGCCGGGGAGAGGAGCGCGGCGACGGGAAACCCGAAGCAGCAGGGGGGGGCACGGGGCGGGAGGAGGGCGGGCGGGGGGAGCAAAGCACGAGAGCACGGAAAGGCAGGGGAGCGGGGAACCAAGGAAGGGGGAGAGAGAGGGAAGGGCGCGGGGAGAGAAGAGCAAGGGGAGGAGGAGGAGGACACCACCGCGCGAACCACGAGAAGGGGCGGGGGGCGGGACGGCGGGCGGGACGGACGCGCGGGACAGAGGCGCGCGACACGAGAGAGACGGCGCACACAAGCGCACACACACGGGAGGGGAGGGAGGGCCGCGGGGCACCAGACGCGAACAAGCGAGGGAAGAGGGGGGGGGAGCGCGGGCGGAGCAAGGGGGGGGCGGGGCGAAAAAAGGGGGAAAGGCGAGGCACCCCCCCCCCCCCCCCCGCGAGACGGGCACCGGACCGCGGGGGGACCAACAAGGGGAGCAGAAGGGGAGCCAGGCGAGGCGGGGAGGACCAAAGGGGCGAGCGAAGCACAGGGGCCGAACGGGGGGCAACCGGGGGGACGGCGAGACAGAGCCAGGCGACAAAGGGGGGGAAGGGGAGGAAGCGGGCAGAGCGCGCGGGAGGGAGGAGGAAGAAAGAGGGAGCGCAAAAGCGAGGAGGCGCACGGGAGAAAGGGAGGAGGGGAAAAGGGCGGAGGCAGGGACACGGAGCGGCGGGACACGAGGAAAGGGGGGAAGGGAGGGCCACGGGCCGAGAGAAAGAGGAAAAGCAAGACGGCGGGGGGAGAGCCCGGAGGCGCCACAGGACGGACAAAAGCCAAACCGGAAGGGACAGCGGACGAGAGAACGCGGAAGAAGCGGGACAAGAGGGCCAAGGAGAGGCGAGGCAAAGCCGGGGAGGAGACAAGAGGGCCGAAGAGCCGAAAGGGGGCGACGGCCAAAGAAAGAGGGGAAACGCGCAGCAAGAGGGGCGAAGGAGCAGGAACAAGAAAAAGACAAGAAGCGCACAAGCGCCAGGAAGAAGGGGGAAGAGGGCAAAAGGCGCGCAAAGGAAAGGGGGGCAGACAGGGAAGCGCGAAGGAGCAAAGGGCGGGGAGAGAGGAGGGAGCGGGGCAAAAAGAGGAGCCAAAAAGAAAGGAAGCGCAAAAGCCGACGAGGCGGACCAGCGGCAGGGGAGAGGAAGGGGACGGCGAGGCGCGAGCACCGAGAGCGAAGAAGGGGGGCAACAGACAAAGGAGGGAGGGAGCGAAAAGCAGAGGAGGGCGAAAGGAAGGCCAAAGAGGAGGAGGGGCAGGAAGCGCGAAAGGCGGCGCGAAGGGGGCCGAACAACCGGCAACCGCCAGGGCAGGAGAAAAGAAGGGGGAGGGGAGGACGGACGAACAAGGGGCGCGGGGGGCAAAAAGGGAGAAGGGGAGGCGAAAAGGAGACAACAAAAAGGGCGGCGCGGGGAAAAGGCAGCGCGCGCAGAACACAAGAAGAAAAAGGCGAAGAAAAGAAGGAGGGGGGCGACAAGGGCCGCAAACCCGGACAGGGGAAAAGAAAGGGGCCGGAGCGAGCGGGAGCAAGGAGCAAGGCCAAAAAGGGGGAAGCGACGCCGAACAAAGCCGAAAGCAAAAGGGGCAAGCGCGACAAAAGAAAAGCGCGCGGGAGCAACGAACCAAACGAAAAGGAGGAGGCGGAGGAGGCAGCAGCAAGCGAGGAAAGGGCAGGGGCGGAGGAGGAGACGGCGCGAAGAGGCAAGGCAAGGGAGGGGAGGACAAGGGAAGAGGGGCGGAGGGCGCGGGACGCAGAGGAAGAAGAGGGAACAGCGAAGGCGGGCAAGGCGGGGAAGGCGGCGGGGGCGCGGAAGCGAGGGACAAGCGAAGGCGAGAAGGGCAAGAGAGGAGGCGCACGCAGCCGCAACGCAAGGAGCGCAAGAAGAGGCGAAGGCGGGAAAAAGAAGAAAGGAAGAAAAAAGGGCCAAGAGGCGGGACGGGAAGGGAGGAAAGGGAAGAAGGAAAAGAGGCAGCGGCAAGAAGAGGGGAAAGCAAGAGAGGGGAGAGAACAGAAGCGGAGAGCGACGAGGGCGACGGGCACGAAGGCGGCGAAAAGGAGAGAGAAAAGGGGGAGCAGGCAAAAGCCAGCAGGAGAGAGAACCGGAAGGGGGAGGACGCCACAGGGGCGCAAACCCCGCAAAAGCGGACGAAGGCGACGACGACGGGAAAGAAGAAAGGGCAAGGGGGGAAAAGGGGGAAAAGGCAGAAGAGCACAAGGAGACAAGGACGGGGCGAGCAAAGCAAAGGCAAAGGGGAAGGGGAAAGGCCGAAACAAGGCGAGACGACGGCAAAAGCAACAAAAAGCGACAAGCAAAGAGAGGCCAAAGAGGCAAGGGCAAAAAGAGGCAGAGAAAAGAGGGAAGCGGGCGAGAAAGAAAGGGGGGAGAGGGAGCCCACGCAAAAAGAGGGGGGGCAAGAGAGGGAAGGCGGGGAGAGACCAAAGCAACCAGGCGCGGCCCAGGGGCCAAAAGAGAAAAAGAAGGGCAAAACCCGGCGCCAAAAGAGGGGCGAAAGGGAGGGAGGAGGAGCGGGGCGCGAAGGGGGACAAAGCGCCGCAGCGGAAGGCAAGAAGAGCAAGGGGGGGGGGGGACCAAAAAGCACGAACAGGAAAGGACCCAAGCAAGGAGGGGGACCGAAAAGGAAGGAAGCGGGGGGCAGGAGGGGGGGACAGCGAGAGGGGGGGCGCACGCCACAGGACGAGAAAGAAAGCAGAGCGAGGGAAGGGCAAAGAAAGCGAGGGACCAAAAGGAGAGGCGGAGGAAAGCAAAAGGAGGGAAGGACAAAAGGAGGGGGCACGAGCAAGAAAAAGGGGGGAAGAGGGAAGAGGGGGCGGGCGGGGAAGGAGGAAAAGGGAAGGGGGGGAGCACGAGGCAAGGGGGGGAGAAAGGCGAGCGGGGAGAAGGGGCGAAAGAGAAGGGGCCGAAGCAAAAAGGAGCGCACAAAGGAGAGGGGCGGGCGGGAAAAAGGACGAAAGAAGAGGGAGAGGGGGGAGGGGAGCACAAGCAAAGAGGCAGGGGGCGGAAGGGCCAGAAAGGCGAAGGAAGCGAAGGGGGAAGGGCACAGAAAGCGCAACCACGGAAACGGCAAGACGAGCAAGCAGCGGGCAAAGAAGAAGCGAGGAGAAGGCGGGCCAGAGAGGAGCGGCAAGAAGGACCAAGGGGGGAGGCAGGCCAACGCGGAAAGCAAAGCAAAGCAGCAGGCAAAGCAAAGACACACGAGGCAACGGCAAGACCGCGAAGCGGACGACAGAGGGACGGAGGGGACCGGGGGAGCCAAGAAGGGGAAGGGGGAAGAAAGAGACGCGCGGGGGGGGGGAGGAGGGGCAGGGACACGGGGACCGGGGGCGCAAGAAGAAAAAGGAAGGGGAGCAAGGGCGACCGAAGCGGGGGAAGCAACGACAAAAGGAGAAAGAAGGGCAAAGAGCAAAAAGACGAACGGAGCGCGGAACCGAGGGCGGGAAGGGAGGGAGACAAGCGGGGGCAAGGCACAGGGAAGGGCGCAGCAAGGAGCGGCCGCAAGAACACCGCAACAAAACGGGGGGGGGGCCGAAAGAAGAAACCGGAACGCGCAAAGAAGCCGCACGAGGGAGGAGGAGGGCGGCCGGGCGCCCGAAACGGCGAGGGGGCGGAAGCGTAGCAACACGGCGGGGGACACGCCAAAAGCGAAGCAGGAGCCAGAAGCAGGCACAAGAAGACGCCCAGAGGAGCGGAGAAAGGGAGAAAACCAAAGAGGGGGGAGGGGCAGAGGGGGGGGAGGCAAAGGGGGAGGCAGAGGAAGGAGAAAGGGCAGCGAAAAGCGGGGAGGAGCGGGCAGAGGAAGGAAGGGGGCGAGGAGAGGCAGCGACCAGCAAGGCAGGCAGAGGGGGAAGAAAAGAGCAAGGGGGGGGGAAGAAGCCAGACACGGGGGAGGGGAGGAAAAAGCACAGAGCAAGAAGGAGGCACGGGACGAAGAAAGGGCACAAAAGGGGAACAAGGGGCAGAGGGAGGGGGGGAGACGAAGGAGACGGGGGAAGAGGAGGGGGGGCAGGGAAGGGAGGAGGGGGAAAGGAAGGCGCGAGAAAAGCCCAGCCCGCAGCCAGAAGAAGGGGGAAAGGCGGGGAAGAAGAAGGGGGGAGGGAGGCCGCACGGGGAGAAGGAGAGGCAGGACAAGGGGGGGAGCCAAGGAGGGAGCAAGGGAGGGGAAGGGGGGGAAGCAAGGCAAGAAGAGGAAGGGAGGAAAGGCGAACCAACACGGCCAAAGGACACAACAAAGGGAGCCACCCAGGACCAGGCACCCAGGGCAACCAGAGGGAAGAGGGCGCAAAAAGCACCCGCCAGAAGGAAGGAGGGGGAAGAGCAGGAAGGCGGGAAAACAAGAGCAGCGACCAGGGAAGCAGGGGGCACGGGGAGCGAGCGCAGAGGGAACCAAAAGAAGGGACGAAGCGCGCAAGGAGCCGCGAGGGGAGAAAGGCGAGGCAAGAGGAGCGCGAGCAAGGCAAAAGAAAGGAGGGGGGGAACGGGGGCCAAGACCGGCGAACCACAAGGGGGAGGAACCAAAGGGGGCGGCCGGAACAAAGCAAACGAAGAAGGCGGGAGGGGGAGGAAGAAAGCAAGGCGCGGGGCAAAAGGAGACGCGCAAGAAGAAGGAAGAGAGGGGGAGGAAACGGGGCACCGGGGGCCCGACGGGAAGCAAGCAGAAGGGCCGAGCCGACGCCGCACACAAAGAGGGCACCGGGGAGCAAAGGGACGGGGAAAAGCGCAGGCGGGAAGGGGCGACGCGAAGAAGAAGGGGAGGGCCGAACAACCCCCAGGGGGGAGGGAAAAGGCGAAGGGGAGAAAGGCGACAAACGGAAAAAGGCAGGGAGGGGGGGAAACAAGCACCGCGAGCGGGGGAGGAGACGGGGGCAAGGGGCGGGAGAAGCGGGGGAGGCACCAAAGGCCGGGGGGACAAAACGCGAGGGAGAAGGCAAGAGGGGGAGCAGAGGGAGGAGGGCAAAGAGAGGGGGAGGAGAGGAGGGGGGGAAGCACGAACAAGGCGGGGGGGAGAAAGGGGCGAAGCGGAGGCAGAAGAAAGGCGAAAGAGCAGGAGGGGGGGAAGGGAAGGACGGCGGGGGCGGACAAGGCAAACAACGGAAAGAAGGAGGAGGCAGCAAGCAAGCAAAGGACACCCGCGACGGGAGAAAGAAGGGGGGCCGGGAGGGAAAAGCAGCGAGCAAAAGGCCAAGGAGCACAGCAAGAAGGCGAGACAAAGAGGAAGAGGGAAAGGAGGGCGAGCAAACAAAAGAGAGAGGAAGGAGGGGGCACGGCGAGAGCGGACGGCAAGCAGGCCGGACAGGGCGGAGGCGGGGGGGGGGGGCAAGAGGCCAAGCAAAGCCAAAAGAAAGCCACCGCACCGCAACAAAGAAGAGCAGACGAGAGCGGAAAGGCACAAGCAAGGGGGGAGGGGGGAGCCAAAAGGGACAGAGGGGACGCGAACAGGGGGGCAGAGGCGGAGGGGGCAGGGGGCAAAAGAGACAGAAAAAGCACGGCGGGACAGGCCAGGGCGGGGGGGGAAGGCGGGGGGCGGGGGGCAGCAAAAAGCAAAAGGCCAGCGCAACGAGGACCGCCGAGGCCGAAGAGAGGGCGGCAGGAAGGGGGGGGGCGCAAAGGGGGGGAGGAAGCAACAAGGGAAGGAGGACGGAGGAAGGGGGAGGACGGGAGGAGGGAGGGGGAGAAGACGAGGGCAAGCGCGAGCACGCACAAGCCGGGGCGGCACGCAAGAACCAAACAGAGCGACAGGCGACAGCACGGCAGAAGGGAGCACGGGGAAAAGAAAAAGCGGAAGAGCGAAGAGAGCCCGACGGAAAACCAAGGGGCGGAGAGGCGCACGAAGCCGGGAGGCCGAAACGAGAGGGGCGACCGGAAGGCACGAGGGGGAAGGAGCGAAAGGAGCGAAGGAGCACGGGACGGAAGCGCGCAAGGGAAAGGGAGACGGGGGCGCAAAAGAAAGGGGGGACGGGAAGAAGGGGAGGGGGAGGGAGGGGGGAGGCGAAAGGGGAGGGGAGAAAAGGGCAAGAGGGGAGGAAGGGAGGGGGAGGGGCAGGGGGGAGGGAACGGGAGACAGAGGCAGGCAAAGGAAGGGGAGAAAGGGGCAAGGCGGGGGAGGGAGAAGGGGGGAAAAGGCAGGGGAAGGGGGGAGAGGGAGAGGGGGGGCAGGGGGGGAAGGAAGGAAGGGGGGGGCAGGAACAAGGGCGCGAAAAGGAAGGGAGGGGGGGGAGGAGAGGGGGGGGGCAGAGGGAGGGAAGGGAGAAGGGGGGGAGAGGGGAGAAACGGAGCGAAAGAAGGAGAGGGAAGGGGGGGGAGGGGCGAAAAGAGGGGGAAGCGGAGGGGAGGGAAGGGAGAGAAGGGGGGCGAAGAGAAGGGGGAAGAGGGGGGGAAGGGGGGAGGGCCAAAAGGGGGGGGGGGAGGGGAAGGCGGGGGGGGGGAAGGGGGGGGAGGGGGAGGAAGGAGGGGGAGGAAGGGGGCGACGAACGAGAGGGGGGAGGAGGAGAGGGGGGGACACGAGGGGGAGAAGGAAAGCAGGAGAGAAAGGAGGAAAAGCAGAGGGGAAGGGGGCAGCAAACCGCCACCCAGAAACGCCGACCCGGGCGAAACCGCCACCCAACCGAAACCGCCCCCCAGAAGCCGCGCCGAGAGCAAAGCGGCCAAACAGAGGGACCCGCGCGCGCGCAAGCGACACCCACCAGCGCAGCCGGGCAGAAAAAGCACCCGCGGAAGCGAGCCCCAGAAACAAAGCGCAAGGGAGAGCAGAACCCAAAGCCGGCCGAAGGGGCGCGGCAAAGCGCCACCCGCGACACGGACGGGCAGGGGGGAGGGCGAAAGAGGGGGGAGCAGGAAAGGCGCGGGGCGGCGAAGGAGGACAGGGGCGCGGGCCGCGGAACACCCGCGAGCAGAGGACGCAGCGACCCGAAACGCACCCAAGCGACACACCGCAACCAAAGGGGACAAGGGAGAAAGCGCAGCGCGCGCGCGGAAAGGCCGAAAAACCCCGGCGAGGCAGCCGCCGCAGAGAAACCCCGCACGGAGAGCGCAAAAACGCGGGCAAGACCGGCAGAAGAGCAGAAAACGCGCGCGCAAAAAGGAGCGCGCGGCGAGCAAGCGAGCGGAGCAGCAGGGCCGCAAGCGGGAAGAAAGCAAAGCGAGCCGAGGCGGGCCCGCGCGCAACAAGGGACGAAGGGGAGGGGACGCAAGCCGGAGGGGGGCAAACGAGGGGCGACCAACAAGGACACGGCCGAGAAAAGGCGGCAAGCGGGAAAAGACGGCGGGACGGGGGAGGGCGGCACCGACAACGACGGGGGAACCGGGGAAGAAGAGGGAGCCGAAGGCGAGCGACAGGCAGGCGGGGAAAAAGGACGCGAGCAAAGCGAGAGGGGGAGGAGCAGAAGGGGCAAGAACGGAGAGGACAGACACAAGGGCGGCAAGGGGCCGGAAGCGCAGAGAAGGCCAGAAGCGCACAGCGAGGGGGGGCAAAAGGGGGGGAACGAGAGGCGGGGGCCGACGGCGCCAAGGGGCGCGGAGGGAGCCGCGCAGAAGAAGGGAGGGAAGGGGGAAGAGGAGAGGGGGGGGGACAGGAGGGACAAGAGGCGGGAACACAAACGGGGAAGGACGGAAGAGGGGACCGCAGCAACAGGGGGCCGGAGGGACGGAAGGAGGAAAGGAAGAAAAGGCAAAGGGGCAAAAGGGAGCGACAGGAAGAGGGGGAGGGGGGCAGGCGGCCAAACCAAGGAAGAAACCGGGGGGGGGGAGCGGGCGAGCAAAAGGGGGGAGAGGGGCGCAGCAGGGGAGAACGGCGAAGGAAGAAGACAAGGCCAAGGAGAAAACACAAAAAGAGGGGAAGGACAGAGCGACGCGGCAGAAAAGGCAGCCCGAAGGGGGGAAAAAGGGCAAGCCAGAGAAGAGGACAAGAAGGGGGGAGGGCGACAAGGGCAAAAACACCGCAAAGGGCCAGACCAGAGAAACAGCAAAGCAAGCGCAGACCGCAAGGAAGCAAAGGGGAGCAAGCAAGCGAGCAGGAAGAGAGCAAGAAGCCAGCAGGACGGCGAGGGCAGGGGGGCCACGCAAAGAGGCCGAACCGAAACAGGGGGGCCGAAGGAGGGGACGAGACAACAAGAAGGGAAGGGGCAGGAGGGGAGGGGCAAAGGGCGAAGGAGCGACAAAGAAGACGCGCGAGGCAAGCGGCAGCCGAAGGAAGGGCAGGACCGAGAGGGGGGACGCAGCGCGCAGGCAAGAGGAGCCGGAAGCGGGGAAGAAGGAAGAAGGGGGCAAACGGGGAGAGAAGGGAAACGGGAAAGAGAGCAGGCGGGCAGGGCAAAAAGCACCCCAGAGGGGAGACGGAGGGAAGAGGGGCCGGGGAAGGGGGCGGAACGAACGGGAGGCGAGAGGCACGCAACAGGGAGGGAAAGCAAGGGGAGCACAGGAAGCGACACGAAAAGGCAGCCAGACAAAAAGGAAAAGCACCAAGAAAAGGAGGAAGGACGGCGCAAGACCGGGAGCCGAACAAGAAAGACAGAAGGAAAGAGCACGGCAGGGAGCGCGACAAAGGGCAGGCGAGGACACACAGCAGGAGCCAGGGAAGACAGCGCGGGGGAGAAGGAAAGGTGGGAGGAAAGAACGGAAGGGACGGCACGCAGGGAGGGACCAAGCAGGAGCACGGAAAAGCAGAGGGACAGACCGGGGAAAGGCCAGGAGGCGGCGGGAGGAGAGCGGAGGGACCCCCACAACAAGGAAGGGGAAGCGGGAGGGCAAGGAACAACGGGGGGAGCGAAGGAAGCGAAGGGGCAGGACGAGAAGAAGGAAGAGAACAAGGGGCAGAAGAAAGAAGAAGAGAGAGACCAGGGGAAGGGGCCAGGAGAAGGGGCGACGGAGAGGAGACGGACAAAGCACAGAGGAGGGAGCCAGGGGAGGGCCAGGACACCAGACCGAGGCGACCAGGCCGACCAGGGACCCGGGGCGAGAAAAGGAAGAGGGAGGGGCAGACAACGACACAGAGAACAGAAGGCGGAGAAGAAGAAAGGGGGGAGCGCAAGCAAGAAGCCGAAGCACCGGAAGAAGAAGGGAGGCAACGGAGGGAGACAGGGGCGCACAGAGCCGAAGAGAAGGCCAGGCGGAGCCCCGCAAAACGGGGGGCAGAGGAAGGAGCAAGAAGAGGGCAGAGGGGCAGCCGGAGGGGCCAAAGGGCCGAAGCCAGGGAGGGGGGGGGCAAACAAGGGGAGAAAAAGGGGGGGAACAAAAGCCAAAAGAGGAACAACAACACACGGAGACACGAGGCAAGCGGAAGGAAGAAGGGAGCAGCAAAAGAGGGGAAGACCCAGAGGGACAAAGCAGAAAGAAGGCGGGAAAGGAGAAGGGACAAAAGGCGGACGGGAAGGGAGGCAACGCAGGAAGAAGGAACGAGAAGCAGCGGAAAAGAGGCACAACGAACGCCACGGGCGACAAAGGCAAGGCGAGGCAAGAGCAAGAAAGCCGAAGCAACAAACGGGAAGGGGAACGCGCAGGGACAACAAACAAGCGGGACAAGGGACAAAGCGGGGCAGGGAAACACACAAGAGGGGGGAAACGGGGAAGGCAAACCAAGACCGAGAGGGGAAGACCCGGGCAGGGGGGGGAGAACGCCAAAAGGGGGGAAGAAAGGCGCAGGCACGGGGCGGGGCAACAACAAGAAGGGAGGCGGGGAAGCAACAACAGCCAGGAAGAGCGACGCAAGGGAGAGGCCGAAGCCGCGGACAAGCCGCACAAGGACCAGCGCAGAGGGGGGGCGCAGGGCGCGAAGCCGAGGCGGGGGACGAGGACAGCGAAAAGGGGCGGAAACGCGGGGCGGGGGGAAGGCCGCGAAAGGGACCGCCACGCAGACAACAAGAGGGACGAAGGAAAATGCGACCAAGCAGGATCAAGAAATGGGCCGGCCAGCCGAGCAAGCCCAAGGGAGCGCGGACAAGAAGAAAGAAGAAGAAGGCAAAGGAAAAAGAACCGAGATGGGGGGAGGAACGAAGAGAGGGCACGGGAAAGAGGGGCAGGAAGCGGGGAGAAGAAAGAAGCGGCGAAGAAAGGGGCGGAGGGGGGAGAACGGAGGGCGGCCGGGAACAAGAGCAAAGAAGCGGGGGGACGACAGGGCCGGACAGCGGACAAAGAAAGGGCAGAAGGCAAAGGGCAAAGAGGAGGGCGGCAAGCGCAGAGAACAGGGCAAGGAAAGGGGGAAGAAAGAGGGGGGGGAAGAAACCCAGAAGGGAAGCGGAAAAGGCGCGGAAGCGGAGAGGCGCGAGGGGCGAACCGCGGGGCGGGGGCGCGGAAAGGCGAAAGAGAGCAAGAAGAAGGGCCCAGGGGCGAGGGGGGAGGGGAAGGGGGGGGGAGGGAAGGAGACGGGCGGGAAGGAAAAGACAAGAAAGAGGGCAAACGCACGACAAAAGGAAAAAGGGAGGAGGAGCAAAAGAAAAAGAAGGCAAGAGGCGGGGAGGAGCGGGGCGAAAAAGGAAGGCACAAGGGGCGGGGGAGGGGGGCGAGAAAACCAGGGGGAAACGCAGCGGGGCGGGGGCAAAGAAAAGGGAGCAAAAAGAGGAGGGGCAAAGACGGAAAGCCAAGGACGGAGGAGAGGGGGGCAGGAGCAAAAGGGGGAAGGGGGAGGAAGAAAGGGGAAGGGGGGAGAGGGGAGGGGGAGAGCCCCAAGGGGAGGGAGAGGGCGAGGAGAGGCGGAGACCAGGAGCGGGAAAGGAGGGAAGGAGAAAAGAGAAAAACAGAGGAAGAGGCAGGAAAAGGAAAGAAGAGAGAAAGCCGAAAAGCAAGAAGGGCGGGAGAAAAGGACAAAGGAAGAAGAAGAGGAAGGAGAAGAGGCACGGCAAGGCGACGCAAAGAAGAGAGCCAGAAGAAGGGGCGGGAAGAAAAGGAAGAGGGGAAGAAGGCAGGAAAGGGACGGGGAGAGCAAGCAGCGAGGGAAAGAAAGAGGACAGCAAAGGGGAGGGTGAGGGGAGATGGGAAACCAAGAAGCGGAGGCGAAGGGGGAAAAAGGCGGGATGGAGGAGGGCCCGAAAAAGGGCGTCAAGGTGGAAGCGGCAGCAACAAGGGTACTGAGATAACAAGGGCAGGGATGCCAAGGCAAAGAAAGTGAGGAGCGAGGGGCAGAGAAAGGGAAAGAAAGGGGGAAGCGAGGGGCAGAGAAAGGGAAAGGGGGAGCGAAGGTCACAAGGGGGAAGCAGGCAAGAGGGGAGCCAAGAGCGG